CTTACAATATGATATAAGACTTTACAATATCACTAAGACTCCAATTAGATTAAAATTTTGTGCAGTACCTTTGAACAAAAGATTGTCGATGATTTTGTTGTAGAACATGACACCAGTTGGATTGACTTCACCAAATCTACCTCCTAATACAGCTCAAGAAATCTTTAATCAAGTTATAAATATGAACCAACCAGTTTATGAATAACTAATATACAGTAACAAGTTGTTTTAGAAGACGAACTAGGTAGAACTCTGGCCCATGAGATTGAGAATCTGTAAGCATCAACCCCTAAAGAATGCGTTATCTCAATGTCTTCCTGTGATAATCAGAATATAACAAAATTAATTTCAATCTCTTTTTTCAATGTTACAGACTAATTATGAAATTAATGCAAGTCTAATACCAAGTAGCGGCGATAATGATCATTAGCAACATCTCCATTTGCTCCATTTCTTTGGCCATCTAACAGAATTCAACAAACAGTTAGTCAAAATCCAATTATGTTACAGTTAGCTTTTGCTGACATTTTAGATGAGACCTTTCTTCAATTACCTTGAATGTGAGTAAAATTATCTCAGTTGCTGAGACTCTTTACCATCTTCAAAAAATGCTCCTTCAATCTGTGCCAAAAATATGGCAAAAGTCTAAGGAAGAGAGAGAGAGAGAACACAATTGACACAATTTAGAAGGCAAGAAGAAGAAGAGACATACTTGGTATGAAGAAGTGGATGTTCCAAAGAAGAAACCATGTGGGAATTCTGATCTTTTGATGTCTTGTGCTGTCAATTCGGTTATGAGATGTGGTTATGAAATATGTGATATTAGTTATGAACAAAATGGTGTTGGTTATGAGATGTAGTTATAACTAAGTTATGATCAATTTGATTATAGTTATGAAGAAATATGATTTTAGTTTATAACTATAAAAGTGACTTGTTTAGCAGGTCACTTTTAATGATGTAGCTCAATTTTAGCCATTGATTTTTTATGTACCGTACATTTTTTGTACAAAATGTACTATAGACTTTCCCCAATATATATACATGCTTGTTTGCATGTGTTGTGCAGAAAAATGTTTGATTTTTTTTGGTTTGGTCAAAACACAGAAAAAATTGTGAGCAAATCATAAAAAATTGGTCAAAATACTGATAAATTTATGAACAAATCAGAGAAATTTCAACCTATAGAAAATTTCAAAATATGGAGAAAATTTATGAAATTAAGCAAACTAGAGAAATTTGTGAGAAAATCAGTGAAATTGAGCAAACCAAAAAATTTCAAACCAGAGAAATCTCAAAACACAGACAAATGAATCAAAATTTCTTTGGATTGAAATTTCTTTGAAAATATTGAGGGATCCCAACCAGTATAAAAATATTATATATCCTTTATTCTACAAAATTTTAATACCAAAGAATTTTCCTAATTTTTGTTATTATAGGTAGACTCGACTTGACCTGGGGGCTCCTTTTGTCATCTTGTTTTTTTTCCGGTGGACCATAAATCACATATGCAAAGTCGAAATATCTGCTACAGATTACCAAATGTGTTGGTGCATTTTAAGATTGAGATTTTTTAAAAAATTAATTGTGAGTGATGATTTTAAAAATTATGTTGTGTCTTTAAATTTTTAATTGCATGATAGATGACTTTTTTTGTTAATAAATTATTAAATCAATTAATAATTAAAAGTGATAACATAAATATATTTCAAGAATTGAGAGGGTCAAACATGCTCTTTTGAGGGATTAGAGATGTTTTTTGGACCGGTGTAATTAGATGGGTCTGGGGTATATGAGACACTATTTCTGTTCTTTTTGGGTTAATATCTCTATGCTGGCTCATTTTGAGTTTCTAGTATAGCGCTCCCACATGCAGGTGTTCTCAGCAGTCGCACGGTGTAATGGCTAGTATGAGATTGTTTATTTTTTGGGGAGATTGAGATAGAGATGTGGCAATGTCATGCCAACTCATGTCCGAGTAGGAGATGTTAGAAATTGGGCGCCCATGTGGCATGACCCTTAGAACCTTTTGAACCTTATCCATGTAAGTTTGAGTTTGAATTCAAACTTATTTGGATAACCATTCAGGATATCTATATCTATCATATCAATAGATATGGATAGATGGATAGATAGATATTGGTTATATATCAGATTATATGGTTAATCTAAAGATATACGTATATCAGATATACGTTATGTGGTTTTTACCCATAACCATTTTTCTCATACTCTCTCTCTAACTCTCTCCCAGAAAACAACGATCAAGCCATTTTGCACTGTGACTTGTGTTCGTTGACTGATCAGATTTTGGAAGCACGTGATTTACCCACGAGGTTGTGTCATTAAGGTATGATACGAATTATTTTTATCCACTGCGTTAATTTATAATGCTTTATGATTTACAATGGGTTTTAGAGGGAGGGAGCACACATGGGTACATTTCTTTGAAGTATAAACTTAGATATGCCAACTCAGGAAAGAAATTTCAGTACACACAGTCCCTACTGTGGTAGGGAGCACACATGGGTACATTTTTTTTATCTTGAAACTTCGCCCCTACAGTCAGAAATTTCAATATACACATTTCAATACACAGTTACAATGTCAATTTATATTTAGGGCCAAAAAGAGTTATCAAAGTTCATCAATGTGGCTTCCACTCAAGAAACTATGATATATCACATAGTAGAAGATCAACTGACATAAAGAGCAAGAGAAAGATTTACTGACCAAGAAAAAAGCTCTCTTTGATAACCTTTGAATTGGCTATAACATGCATATCTTCAGTTTCACAATATGAGGAGCTATCATTTAAAAAATGAGCTAATGTAATCCAAAAAGAGCGCACCAACTAATAAAAACCCAAAGCTATCAAAATTAACAACCAACATAAGTGAAGAAGAAAGGAAATACAAATTAATAGAAACCAAAACTTTTCAACATGAATGTCCATAATTACAGAATTAGACCAGAACAATTAAAACAATCTATCTATAAAATTACAGACTAAAAATATGAATGGACACATTTTTTGCATCACTGACCTCAGTCTACAATCCTTTTATTTATTGATTGATTTTTTTTGCTAAATTTTATATATCATGCTTTTAGATTCCAAAGCTTATTGCCATGTCAGAAGTTTATGATAGCAACCCAAACAGGACGGAAGTTTTTTATATGTTTGCAACTGATAAATTGACTTACAACAGTCAAATGAAAATAAATATTGGTCCAAAGCAACAGTCATATGAAAACATACACCAAGAAAGAAAAGGAAAAATGCAAATAAATATCCAGAGAAAAAGAATAAAAGACATGAAAGAATGTGCTCAGACTTCACCATTCAAAAACCCATGCATAACACAATCCTAGTAAAACATAACATGACTAAAGATATAAAGGAAGACATCACACCAAGGAAAGATACATGCCTTGTTTGTGGGTATAATTAACCACTAATCAACCAACTCTTTTATGAAGACCAACTCTTTTCTCTTCACAAACCTTTTCAAAAATTACCATTAGCTGTTTGATTAGCAAAGTAATCCATTAGTTACCAAAAAATTTTTTTTAAAAAAAAGGGCACTCCTCAAGAATGCCCCGTTTGTGGGTATAATTAACCACTAATCAACCAACTCAACTCTTTTATGAAGACCAACTCTTTTCTCATATCAAGGCCAACTCTTTTATCTTCATAAACCTTTTCAAATCAACCAGTTTTACCATTTGCTGTTTGATTAGCAAAGTAAAAATAAAATCTAGGAAAAATCTGATGAAAAAATAGGCACTCCTCAAGAATGACCAATTAATATGTAGAAAATAAACAAAAAAGAATGATGACTTTGTACGATCCAAAAACCCAAATCCCAAAAGAAAGGGAAAATGCAAGGAAAACAACCCAAACACCCAAAATTTAGTTATAATAAAAGAATGGAAAAATGAGAGAATACTCATTTTCAATACTAAAAAAAAAAAAAAAATCAAACTTTGAATACAAAATAAAATACAAAATCCAACATACATCACACCAATGTGGGTAAACCCAAAAATACACCTAGAAAACAGAGCAAGGAAAAGGGGACAAATCAAGAGATAAAGTAAACAACCCAATTCATCTTTAAACAAATTTATTCAACTTTTCAACTCAACACCAAGCATTGATCAAGTAACCAATCAATTAAACACATATCTAGATGCATGAACCCTGATATGAGTGAAAACAAAAACCCAAAAAAAAAGAATTTTCCTAGAAGCTTCCTATCAATTAAACAATCAATCAATAAAAATAAAAACACAGATTTAGGCAAGAAAGTCAGTTGGAAGCTTCCTATCAATTAAACAATCAATCAACAAAAATAAAAACACAGATCTATACATACATACATGAACCCTGAGATGAGTGAAAAACCCATAAAAAAAAATGACCTAGATATTGGGAGAGCACAACACCCACTATCTCTCTTTCTCTATACTACAACACCATTTCAAGAAGATTATGGGTGATGAGAGAGATCAATAATACATTTTGGGCAGTAGAAGGAACAGAGAACGTGAGAGAGAACTTGTAGAGGGAGTTGAAGAGAACCGAGGGGGCATTAAGACATTCAGAGGATTGATCTTGGGGTGCGAGAGAGAGAGATGAGTGTTTGGGCAAGAACTATGTGTTTGGTATATTTAAGAGGATTGATCTGAATCATTGATATATATTTAAAATTGATGTAGACCATTAAAAGCAAATGTATCTTTTAGACATTTTGATACATTTTCAAAAATCTTTCTGCCTTATTATATAGATAGTGTATACCTGTGCCTGAAGGCACGGTAGAATTAATGATGAAATTAAAATAAAATGTAATTTATTAAATGTGTTGCTAAAAATTTTGCGATCAAACTATAAATACAGATCCAGTTTCGACTTTAATAAACAATCGAGATTAATAGCAAATAGATCAACTACCAAACAAATTATCAAACTTTTTAACACTCGCATTACAACCACGGAAATAGCCTCTTTGTCTCTCTACCTTAGGAAAATGGTGAACAGTGTATGTTTTTATAAGTTATTTGCTATAGTAAGTAGGGTTGACAGTATCATCTTGAATTGGCTCTGCTTCCTCTAATGAAATTCTAAACAAACCCCAAGAATTCCATGACTAAACCTTTGGATCATACGGAAAAGTAAAATTTTCCATGAACTACAGACTATCTCAAGATGCATTATGGTCCAAAATGAATTAAAATCGATGAAATTTTTTTTGCCTTTTTATTTTTTCTTTTCAAAGAGTAGGGAGTGAATTCACAGGAAGGAAAAAAATTCCTAAATAAAGACATGAAATTCAAAATGAATACAATACACCAATTTATTAGTAACCCAAATAAACTCCAAATTCAGAAAATTTATTAACCGTTAAAAAAAGTTAAGTGATTATCAGATCCACCTTCAAACCCTGGAAAAAAAAAACCCAACCCAACAAAGCTAAAGATCAATTTATTGTAAATCAATCAACTTAAATTTAACTTGTATAACAATAAATTAATCACACTTACATCAAACCCAACAGAGCTCTTTTCCTCATCATCCAATCCTAGAAATTGCAGAACTCTCCTTCCACTATCCACTGCAGTGACTGTCAACACAAACAAAACAAACCCAAAATGGATGTGAAAAAACCAACTTTATCAGCACTTTAACTAAACCCTCAATTTTGCCAACAGCCCCACTCAAAAACTTCATAGTAAAACAATCCAATTCCAAACCAAAAATAGAGCATTTCACAGCACCAACATTCAAACATTTCTAAAAAAAAAGAAAAAAAAAATCATGAGATTGAACAAAGAAAATCATACACATATAAATAAAATATCATGAAATTGAACAAAGAAGTCAGTGAACTTCATACCAAAATCGTCACTCTATTACTCAATTACTCTTCTTTTTTTACTTTCTTTCTCTCTCCAGAAAATGTGAACACAGCTAGGCTTTAGAAATCTGGGAAAAGAGAGCCAAAAACAAATAGAGATAGAGAGAAAGGGAGAGAAAGAGAAATCAAACTACCTTGTGGTCGTGTTGATTGAACGGTGGTGGCCACTTCTAGCGGTACAAATGAAGAGAATCAGAACAAAAGAGAATTCAGTCTCGAAGAATCATAACATAGATACATACACACACATAAGGGAATTTACCTGTGTATACACACACAGAGGAAATAGCACAGAGGGGAATTTACCTATGTATCTATGTTATAAAAATAAGTATACCATCATAATGAAATTCTAGACTAATTTTGATAAAGTTTTTTTTAGACTAATAATCTTAATTAATTGAAATTAAAAAGTTATTTTAGATGATCTAAATAAGTATACTATTTAACTTTTTATATAAAAAAAAATATGCAGAAAAGTAGAAAGTGATATGATAAAAAAAATAAAAAAATAAAAAGTATACTTGTATAATTTACCATAAACAAAGCCGTATTTATGTATTTATTTATTTGAAGGACAAAAGGCCACTAATGCCCTAATTAAAAATCTCAGAAGAATATCCAGAATTTATATTCACATTTTGCTTGAATATAAATCTCAGCCATTGTTGCTTGTTCTGCCCCCTTCAATTTCAAAACCTTACTTTCACCAAACCTCAAATCCAACCAGCTCTACCCATTACATCATTTCTAAATTGAATAAATCTGACAATCCACTCTTGCCTTCCTCAGATCTATAGCTTTCTACGTTTCCTTGATATTCTTCTGAGATTTTTCTTAGAAATTTAAACATGTTCATAACATATTAAAGCATTGGTATCTTATAACATATTAATATTTCACAAGTTAAGAACAGTCCACTTTTTGAGTCCGACCAAAAGTGTTTTGATAGCATCTACTTTCGGTTCACCAAAACCATTAAGTATCCATATATATATATATATATATGTGCCTTTGCCCCGAAAGGACGCACGTCCCCCTCCATTGAAGGCCCTCCCTCCCTCACAAGGAAACTTTTTCATTGGATTCATTTTAGGAGGGTAATTATGGAAATTAAAATCCACTTGACTGACTTTAATTGGATTCAATTCTAAATGCACACATGCCTCACATGAAATGGAGAATTCAAAAATGTTGAGTCCCATAAATAACCACCTAGATTTTTCAGAACGGGCAACGTTTATCTTCATTCTAACAACATGGATGCAAAAGAAAATGCATGCATAGATATATACACACACACAGAGGGGAATTTACCTAACGGAGGAAAGAAGCGAATTGGGGTGTGGGGATAAGAGAAAAGTAAATCTATGTAACTTGTTCTGGGTCTCTCCCAACTTTGTCTCAAACTCTCTCTCTCTCTCTCTCTCTCTCTCTCTCTCTCTCTCTCTCTCTCTCTCCATTCTCAAAATGGCGGTGGGTTTGTCCTTCACTCCAGACCTCAACTCAACAAACAACAACGGTGGAGGAAAATAAGGGACTGATACAATACACCAATTTATTAGTAACCCAAATAAACTCCAAATTCAGAAAAATTTAAATCAAAACAGAAAAAAATAACAACCGAAATCAAAACAAACAAAAACCATACCTTGCCAAGCATCGGTAGCAAAGAGGCAAAGAGGGTTTCGGCGAGATCTGTTGCGAGGAGGAGAGGACTGAAGTGATAAAGGGGGATGAGGGAGAGGCTGTCATGATGGCGGTGGTCGAGGGATCTGTTGAAGAAGGAGAAACAGAGAGGGTCCTGCGAGGGAGAAGAGAGGTGGTCGCGATGGCGGTGGTCGAGAGGGTTCCTGTTGAAGAATAAACAGAGAGGGAGGGAGGGAGAGAGAGATAAAGAAGGAAGGAAGAGACGTAAAGAGCAGAGAGGGAGAGATAGATAAAGAGGGAATGAGGAGGAGACGTGGGTAGATGACAAGGTTAAGGAAGAGAAGTGTTTGGGCGGGAAATAAATAATTCAGAGCCATTGATATATACTGAAGATTGATCTGAGTCATTAAAATAAAATATATCTCTGATACATTTTGACATATTTTCAAAAATCGTTTGCCCCCAAAGGACGCACGTCCCCCTCCATTGAAGGCCCTCTCTCCCTTACAAGGAAGCTTTTTCATTGGATTCATTTCAGGAGGGTAATTATGGAAAATAAAATCCACTTGACTGACTTTAATTGGATTCAATTCTAAATGCACACATGCCTTACATGCAATGGAGAATTCAAAAATGTTGAGTCCCATAAATAACCACCTAGATTTTTCAGAATGGGCAATGTTTATCTTCATTCTAGCAACACGGATGCAAAAGAAAATGCATGCATAGATATTTACACACACACAGAGGGGAATTTACCTGAGGGAGGAAAGAAGCGAATTGGGGTGTGGGGATAAGAGAAAAGCAAATCTGTGTAACTTGTTCTGGGTCTCTTCCAACTTTGTCTCAAACTCTCTCTCTCTCTCTCTCTCTCTCTCTCTCTCCCCCCCCCCTTTTCAGAATGGCAATGGGTCTGTCTTTCACTCCAGACCTCAACTCAACAAACAACAACGATGGAGGAAAATAAGGAACTGATACAATACACCAATTTATTAGTAACCCAAATAAACTCCAAATTCAGAAAAATCAAAATCAAAACAGGCAAAAATAACAATCGAAATCAAAACAAACAAAAACCGTACCTTGCCAAGCATTGGTAGCAAAGAGGCAAAGAGGGTTTCGGCGAGATTTGTGGCAAGGAGGAGAGGACTGAAGTGATAAAGGGGGATGAGGGAGAGGCTGTCGTGATGGCGGTGGTCGAGGGATTTGTTGAAAAAGGAGAAACAGAGAGGGTCCTTCAAAGGAGAAGAGAGGTGGTCGCGATGGCGGTGGTCGAGAGGGTTCTGTTGAAGAATAAACAAAGACGGAGAGAGGGAGAGAGAGATAAAGAAGGAAGGAAGAGACGTGGGTGAGAGCAGAGAGGGAGAGAGAGATAAAGAGGAAATGAGGAGGAGACGTGGGTAGGTGAGAAGGTTAAGGAAGAGAAGTGTTTGGGCGGGAAATAAATAATTCAGAGCCGTTGATATATACAGAAGATTGATCTGAGTCATTAAAATAAAATATATCTCTAATACATTTTGACATATTTTCAAAAATCGTTCTATTTTATTTTATATATATATATATATATATATATCGGTGAAAATAGAACGATTTTTGAAAATATATAAAATGTATCAGAGATATATTTTATTTTGAGGGCTCAGATCAATTGTGATAAACATCATTGGTTGAGATGATGCTTTGATTCCCGCCCAAACACTCGGTGCTCTCTCACTTTCCCATCTACCTACATCTCCTCCCCATTCCATCTTTATCTCTTTCTCCTTCTCTGTTTCACGTCTCCTCCCATTCCCTCCTTATCTCTATCTCTTTTTTTGTTTATTTTCTTTCCTACCCTTTCTCTTCACTCGCTCCCGACGTTACCTCTCTCCTTCTCTCTCACCTGATTTCTGTCTCTCACCCCTTTTCTCTCAGTGGCTTCAATTCGCAACCCTCTCACTCGCTTTCCAAAGGCTAAGGTTTCCGATTAAGAACCACAAAATTGTGCTTCGATTAGCTCACCAAGTTGGCTCCCTCTACCACCACAGTCACCCCCGTCGCCACCGTCTTCTCTTTCTTTCTCTAAAATTTTGAGAACCGAAGGCCCGAAGGAATCGGCTTCGCGCTGGTAAAACTTTCTGGAACTGGCTTCCTTGCGTTGGTTTGGACCCAGCTTGATGATCTCGCCGTAACAGCCCTCCGGGGCGTGGCTTCGGAACTGTCTAATCTTCGTCTCCTCATCCACCATGTTTACTAGCTCTGTAACAAGTGTGAATGGACTTGGCATTTTGATGAGATGAGCCTATTTCTAAACTCACTCATCAAGATTTCTGAAATGAATTTGGATCCTCGGCTGCCCTTTTGGGCGAAAAAAAACGAAAAAACCCCCAAAACGACGTCGTTTTGGGGGGGCTGCTGGGAACTGCCGCCCAAAAGGGCAGCCGAGGATCCAAATTCATTTCAGAAATCTTGATGAGTGAGTTTAGAAATAGGCTCATCTCATCAAAATGCCAAGTCCATTCACACTTGTTACAGAGCTAGTAAACATGGTGGATGAGGAGACGGAGATTAGACAGTTCCGAAGCCACGCCCCGGAGGGCTGTTACGGCGAGATCATCAAGCTGGGTCCAAACCAACGCAAGGAAGCCAGTTCCAGAAAGTTTTACCAGCGCGAAGCCGATTCCTTCGGGCCTTCGGTTCTCAAAATTTTCGTTGGCGGCCGAGACACAGGTCGTGTATTGACGCCTCATCATTTCATTTGCTATTCAAAGATCGTGTTCCAGCTTGATGGCAATGAAGAACTCATCATCACAGCTGTTAGAGACGCCTCCTTTTTCCTGTATAGACTCAAGTATAGTCTCTCTCTCTCTCTCGTTCACCGTTAAAATTTCTAACAGAAAATTATTATTGAGTTGGTTAAGGTTAAGGTTAAGGTTAAGTTACTGACTTAATCGAGTTTATAATTTTGTTCGTAGAAGTGTGACACGTGTCGTTTATATGAGCATTTTCTATAAATAAATTATATATATATATGTTAATAATTGAAATCAATTGAATTAATTTGAGATAAAATAAAAAAAAAATTACGGTCAAAATCGATTCAATTAAAATTATAAGGACTAAATTAACATAATGGCCAAATTACTGGACTCAATTGTTCTTACATTTTGCCTCATGTATTATTTTGGTCCCTACATTTTTAATTATTTCAATTTTGACTCTTAATTTTAGATTTTCTGTGAATTTGATTCAATTGATAAAACAGTTAATGTTTTTAATACAAAATGATCACTAAATTAGTTGAGATTAATTCACTAGCTTAAGCAAGTTTATTTTGCTGTTAAAAACATGGTATATGTCAAAATACTAATAATTGTAAGCAACTGCACTAATTTGAGACAAAATCATAATTTCAGAGTCAAAATCAAGCTAATTAGAACTACATGGACCAGAATAACACAAAGACTAAAATATAAAAAATTATTAGCATAATTTGTCCTAAATTAAAATATTTTTTTTACCTAAACAAATGGAGGGTTAGGGAAACTAGATCAAAAAATGTATTCAACTCTTTTCTTTTTTCTTTTCTTTTTTTTAATTGTTGTTCTGGTTATTTTCAGGGGCTTGCGTTTTCTTATGGGAAGGAACAACTGCGAGGGCATGCCAGAAGAAGAGATCGATTGAGTCCTGAATATCATCACCATCTGGCACCCATTTTTTTACTTTTCCTTTATGTGTATATATAGCATTTGGTGTGATGATTGTGTAATATTTTTATGGTGTAAGGTATTGGATTCAATTCGTATAGAGAGGAGTTACCTTTGTATAGATTTATTTCTCTCTCGTTACGAAGTTGTATGTAATTGATAGTAGTTGTTGGATCTATTGTGGATTAATAGTTTATTTGATAATGTAAAATCATATTTGTAATTACTTTCATATCAGTTGACAAAAAAAAAAAAAAAACTATATGTATATATTTGTACATATACATGAACTTGTTTGAATTTGATGCATGTATAAAAAATATATTAAATGGAAATTTTAATTTCTTTTTTACTTTGATCCTTAATTAATTGTTCATATAGTTGCAATTGGTTGAGAACACTTGAGAGCTTTCGAAAAGGAGAACAAAAAAGAAAAATTATTTACAAATAAAAGCTTTGAACATCCACCATCCTCGAAAACAAAAAATATTGCAATTATAATTCTGCTTCTTTTTCTTCTAGTCTCTTTCTTTCAAAGAAATTTTATCTTCAAATCTAAGTTTTAACCAAATAAATCAAATTTTCAAAATGGATTTGGGTGCAACCCACATAGATTAAACCCAAAATCAAATGATTTGTAAAGGGTAAACTATCAATAGATCTTAATAATTGAGCTTAATTTCCATTAAGTCCTATTGAAAATAATTTATACTAAAATCGTGGCTAAAAATAATTTTTTATGACAATTTTTGTATACGTCACTAAAAATTAACAATTAGTGACTCTTTTTGACACGATTTTTATAAATTATCGCTAAAACCTACAATTAGTAACGTATTTCTATGACGAATTTTTTAAAATATCGTTGAAAGTTGAAAGCTGAAAATTAGTAAAAAAAATTTGTTGTTTTTTTTTAAATTGTTACTAAAAACTTATAATTAATGACATTTTTGTGACAAAATTTTTAAACTGTCATTAAAAATTAACAATTGGTGACTTTTTAAATAATATTTAATAAAAAAAATCATTAATTATTATAAGACTTATTAAACAATAAATCCATCTATTATAACTTACACGTAAGGCATTCTTCAAATAGTCCAAGAAGACCAACTGCTATCTAATTTTTTTTTTTTTTTTTTTTTGAGACCTCCGTATGTTACGAGTGGGTACGGTTGGTTACCACAACAACAATGATTCATCCCCCCTTTTCTCCACCCCCTTTGACCCCATCTCTCTCTCATTGGTTACTTTTTTTTTTTCTTTTTCTTTTTTTTCCTACTCCTCCAATCACCACCCGTCACGTGGCAAAAGGGGGTGAGGGGTGACCCCCAAAAGGGGGTCCCAAGCATTATTCGTTACCACAATTGAATGTTGATACTAATTCAGAAAATCGAACTCTAAATCTCCTTCCAAAAAATAAAGTAATAACCGCTTGAACTATGCAAGCATCAATTGATTTTCTTGCTTTTCTGAATAAAATTATTCTAGCATTAAAAAAAATTATAAAAAAACACCTATGTTTAGAGGCACACCTAGGGATGGTCATTTTAACCGGTCGTATGGAGACTCACCTCTACCCAATATAAATGGGGTAGAGTTTATCCGATCTGTTTGAAAGATTGACTAGGAACAAGTTTTTTTTTTTTCTCCACCTGATCTGTTTGAAAGATTGACTAGGAACAAGTTTTTTTTTTTCTCCACCTGAAGTAGTAGCGGAGGATGCCCCATCCGATCTGAACTCGACCAGTACAAGTCAAGAACTATTAATCAACTCAGAAGTTTAAAAAAAATTAAGGACTTTTCATCGAGGTTTAGAAGTATCCTAATAATAACCTGTAAAAGTAAGCAGTTGAATCAAACTTTTCCTTGACTCAAAAGTCTAGAAAAGATTTAAGGACTTTTCATAGAGGTCTAGAAGTCTCCTAATAATAATCTGTAACAGTTTCGTAGAATCAAACTTTTCTTTTTGTCAATGAAAGCATGCAACTCTCTCTATCTATGACTCTCACTCACTTTCACTTATTTATCTCTCTACCTCACTAGAAAGAAACCCATTTTCTCACTATTAGTTTTACTCTTATTCTCCACTTAAATCACTATTTTTGACTTTATTAACTTATTCTATTAGGATGAAGCAACAAGTTTGGTTTACTTAGTCATGTGAATCAAGTTTGGTTTACTTAGTCATGTGAATCAAGTTTGGTTCATGTGAACAGGGTGGGTTCGGATGCTCGATGTGTGGAGGTGAGGGATGAAAGAGGGGTGGCGAGGGCAGGAGTAGGGACAAGTACAAGTAATAAGAAGTTCGATAAAAGTTTGTCCTATGATTAATCTCTGATACCTTAAAATGAATGAAAAATTACAATTTAATGTAAGTTTGAAAGAAAAATTTTAGATCAATACTTTACAAATAATAATAATTAAAATTATAAAATTTTTTACGAATCTGTAATTATTTTTTAGAAAGATTATGAATTGTAATTTCTTCTAAAATAAATAAATGCACATATTCTAAAGTCCCAAAAAGTCCACAGCCCGCATTAAAAGCACTATGTGGAGTAAATGGCCCCCAAACTTTTGCCTATAAAGGCCTTAATATTAGAGCCCTGAAATTTATTGGGCCTCAATGGCTGAAAATAGACAGCCCATAAAGAACTTTCAAGAGGCCTTTTAAAAAGTCTCTAGCCTTATTATGAGGAATATATAAAAAATCATTGAGTATACTCAATTTTGTAGTACATTCTATGAAATTATTTAGGATTATAATTTACTCTCAATATATTTTATATTTTTTTCTACATTACTCTTCAAAGTACACCCAAATAATAAACAAATCAAAAATCTCAAATTACAACACTTTCAATACTTTTTAAAAAATTCTTAAATATATTTCTTATTACAGCTATTTCTTTTATTCACATATAAGATTTTTGATTCGGGGCTTTAATTTATGCATAGTTTTTAGTTACATTTTATTTCTTTGGTTTCATAGTGAAATCACGACTGTTGCCAAACCTAGACTAAGGAGTTGCAAAATTAATGGAGATCGAATGCTACTAGTGCCTCAACAAATGTAGAGCCTCATCATTTTTTTGTTTTTTTGGTGCTTTGGAATTTAACGAAACAAAGTTTTACAATAAAGAAAAAGAGATATACCAAGGGTAGAATTAATAAACCTCACAATAACAATCTTAGTCTTTGTCACAAATCAGTCATTTTTTATGATTTAAAATTTTTAATTTTTTTTTAATAAGGCATAATAATGTTGATGATAATGGTAAGTTTTGGTGAGATAAATTGAAATTTCAGAGTGAGGAAGAAAATGAAGAGAAATAATTAAAACTTTGGAAAGAAAATAAGAGAGTTGAATATAAAAAATATATATATAAGTGATTTAGGTGTACAATGAAAAAAAAGAAATTATTTTATTTTAAGATTTAATGTGCATTGTTCTTATTAGTAAATATTCATTAAAATATAATAAGAACTAAAATTTTAAAAATTTTATTGAGTATATTAAATTATTATTTAGTTGCAAATAAAATCACTCGGAATATATAGTTCATACGAACCACGTGGCCCAAATACGAACTAAGTTCGGTGGCCCAATTATTAGCATCAAAAGACTCCAAAATTTAGCCCCTTCAGTATTATAAACTTCAGAGTGAGGAAGAAAATAAAGAGAAATAATTAAAACTTTGGAAAGAAAATAAGAGAGTTGAATATAAAAAAAATATATATATAAGTGATTTAGGTGTACAATGAGAAAAAAGAAATTATTTTATTTTAAGATTTAATGTGCATTGTTCTTGTTAGTAAATATTCATTAAAATATAATAAGAACTAAAATTTTAAAAATTTTATTGAGTATATTAAATTATTATTTAGTTGCAAATAAAATCACTCGGAATATATAGTTCATACGAACCACGTGGCCCAAATACGAACTAAGTTCGGTGGCCCAATTATTAGCATCAAAAGACTCCAAAATTTAGCCCCTTCAGTATTATAAACTTGAGACGAAATTGTGAACTCCTCCAATTCCATCCATTTGAAATTCATTTAAATCAATTTTTAAATAGGTTATATCTCTTCGGTCCATTTAAAATATGTTTACATGAATTGGATATGGTATCTATTTAGCATGAAACCATGAACGGCACCACCATCTACACAATCACAATCACATCACCACCACCACCCTTACATAATTTTATCATATTTATATTTAAAAAATAAACAGTAAATATAAATTTAAAAATAAATCATTAGACTAGAATCATAATTGACCTCACACCCCATTATCTATCTTCAGTCCACAAACTTACTGAGAGAATACCATTTTAAAAAATTCCAACACGAATCAATTATGATTAAGGCCTCATTTGGCATATAATAATTTTAATTTAAAAGTTAAAAAGTTATTAAAAAAATTAAAAAAAATCTATAACCTATATCAAAAAGTTAAAAATTCTTTTTTCTCTCTCTACTTTTTACACATCTTTTCGTAAAAAATTTAAAAGTTATCCCAAATGTACTAATTTTTTTTACCTCATATTTTAGCAAAAAAGTCAAAAAGTTACTAAAATAGTTTGTTCCCAAACGAGACCTAAAATATAAGGTAAAAAAAACTAGTATGTTTAAAATTACTTTTTAGTTTTTTATGAAAAAAATGTACAAAAAGTAGAGAGAAAGGGAAATGTTTGGCTGTGTTTGGTTATGTTTGTCAAACACATTTTCACCCACTTTCGTGAGTGCGGTGTTTGTTTTAAGTTTCAAATTGTAATTCCACACCAACATTTGAAAACTCATTTCCAAGCGAGAAAATTTGGCTAACCCGGTCGTCCTCTCGAACGTCCCTCGGACATCCGACCGGTTGACCAGAACAGTGTTTTTTTTTTTTTTTTTTTTTTTTTCCCCCTTTTTTTTTTTATTTTAAAAAAAAAAATTTTTCAAAATTTTTTTTTAAATTTTTTTGATTAAAATATGAGGTAAAAAAATTAGTATAGGTTGTGTGTTTAGTTATGAGTTCTAAGTTTTTTAATCAAATAACTTTTCTAATGTCAAAAACTTAAAACTCCCTCCAAAACTCAATTCAAAACTCTTTTCAAAATTCATAGCCAAACAAATTTTCCATACTCAAATCATAATTCCAAAACTCACAAACTCAAAATACAACTCTGTTCTCAAATCATATTTAAAAAACTCTACCAAACGCTACCT